AAAAAAATCCCCCCCAGTAGGTTTTTGGCGAAGGGAGTAGATGGACAGAGCATAGTATACGTGCTCTACTTTCAAAGTGGGTGAACAGCTAAAAAAAAAAAGAGGAGCTGAATATGCTCTCTATTTTCTATATATTTCATTTATTAGGCTCCCTAAGTGACTTTAGTTATTTTATAGAAGAAATCTTGATTGTCAAGGCAAAGGTTAAGCAAATATTCTTTTTTGAGAGAAAAGTTGAGCAAAAATTTTTAGTTATTTTGTAAAAATGTATAGGATGAAGTTTGGCCTAGGCTTTATGGAAACAAAACAAAGCCTTACCTCAAATCGTCATCCAAAAAGCACTTTCGACATCGAAAATCTCCATGATGGCTCTAAAATTAATCTCCATCTCCGACAATAAATTTTGAAACTCAAAAAATAGTACAGATGTTGCGGATTTGTGAACACTTATTTTTTGTGGTGAATTGGATGGTCTAGGTGATTTGTTGCAATATACACTATTTTTAGAATTTCAAATCTTAATTTTTTTGCACAATCATAATGTTCCAGCTGAGCCGATCAATTTAATGTTTTTTCAATACTTGAATGCAATTTTTGATGAGGTATGTGGTGACGCTTTACTCATTTTGAAATGCAGCCCTATAAAACCATTTTCCAAAAATATATTGGGGGCATTTGGATCTGTAGGCATTGTACTCCTATGGCTCTGAGGTGGCTAGGTTATATCTAAAGGAAACAGTTTATATAGAGCCGAGGTTCTAAACCATCAAATTAGAGCTCACCTCAAAATTTTCATTAGAAGTGGTTGTTTCGATGTCTAAATATCTTTAAATTGATCATCTCAACATCAAAATGCATAGACATAAGAAAAAATGGATTTCAAAATTTGAAAATAGTGTATCTTGTAACGTATTTTTGGACCATCGATTTTCAATATTTTCAAGTTTTCAAAGATTCGCTTGATCTACACTCTTTTTTAAGCTTTAAATTTTATAACTAAAGATGAAATTTTATTTTAATGCTATCACAAAGATTATCAGTATTAAAACCATATTTCTCGACACCATTTGAAGGTGCGCTTTACTTTGATTGTTTAGAGCCGCGGTTCAATACAATCCGCGCCCCTATCTAAAGCCTAAGCTTTCTTTATTTGCTTTCTTTAAGTTGAAGACTCACGAAAAAACAAATGTTTTGAAGTGTTAAAAACTTACAATGCCTTGCATCTCATAACCTAATTCCTCCATTACAAAATTTGTATTCACACAAGTTGAATAGATGGTTACAAAATTTTATAATTAAAATATTCCTTAATATCGATTGGGGAAAGTATTTCATTATTGCTGTTTATATTAAATAATATATGCCACTCTTCAACAACAAAGGGTTGAGATGTTCCTTTCCCAACACACATGGTTTGACTAAACCGTAATTGTAGCTTTTATCTATGGTAACTTCTTATCTCCACAAATCTCACAAAACATTGGGATCTCACAAATATTGGAATGTTGGGCTTGTACTTTTATATATATATATATATATATATATATATATATATATATATA